TCTTGGGGAAGGCAGGCAGGGCCCTGGCCCAGCTGGCATCTTAGACCTGCCAGTATATTCTTGTGCCTGTGATCACCTTGCGTTGAGCCCTGTCTTGTGCTCTGGCCTGGGAACTAGCGTGAGATGGGTTCAGGTGGGCACCAGGCATGATCCTTATAGTCCCTTTCTGTGACAGGGGAGATGTGGACTTGTCCGCAGTTTGTGAATACCAGCTGGAGGACATCCAGCGGGTGTTTGAGGGTCCCTACAAGGAGTACCGCGAGCAAGCCCAGAAGTGGGCTCGCTATACAGACCCAGTACCCACCCCTCGGCCTGGCTCGGTGAGTCCTGTGGGCTGGGGTGTGTGCCTGTTATCAGCTCAGCGCCTGTCCCCCCCAGGCTCACAGTGCCCTCCTGTCCCCCGCCCCGTGTAGTGCATCAACAATTGGCACCGGCACCATGGCTACACCAGCTCCTTGGAGCTGCCTGACAACACCCTCAACTTTATCAAGAAGCACCCACTGATGGAGGAGCAGGTGGCGCCCCGCTGGGGCCGGCCCCTGCTGGTAAAGAAGGAGGCCAACTTCACCCATCTGGTGGCCGACCGGATCACGGGGCTCGATGGAGCAACCTACACAATGCTGTTCATTGGCACAGGTGGGCGCAGCTGGGCATGGGTGGGGTGGACAGCTGGGGATGGCCAGTGCTGTGTGCCCATCTGCTCACCCCTCCTTGTACCTCTCCAGGGGACGGCTGGCTGCTCAAGGCTGTGAGCCTCGGCGCCTGGGTGCACCTGATCGAGGAGATGCAAGTGTTTGACCGGGAGCCCGTGGAGAGCTTGGTGCTGTCTCAAAGCAAGGTAGGATATCGGGTCCTGTGCTGCTGTCCTCAGTGCCATCCCGCCCTGCTCCTTCTGCCTGGCTTCCCTGCGTGGCCAGGACAACGCAGCCCATTGAGCTTAGACAGAGCTCCGGGAAGTGACAGCAGTAACCAGCGGAATCCACAGCGCCTTTATATATAGCCAGGTCCCCTGAGACTGCGTTCCCAGAATGGGGCCTGGCAGCCACTCATGTGTTCCTTCCTCAGTTCCTTCTTCTGATCACACCCCTACTGGCCAGACCTCCCGGGCCGCGGGCCGCTTCTGGTGTCCCCTAGATGTTGGTTCCTCCCAGTCCCCAGGGCCCTCTGGGCTTAGCCTTCCGCTTCCTTGACCATTTCCCTGATGTGTTGGCATTTTTTTTCAACCTCATGCAAACTCTTGGCATATTTCCAGGGCCCCGTGTACTTTGATTGGCTTGCCTTTTACCAGCTATTGTGACTCAAAATTGTTCCCCCAGAACATGGAATAATGTCAGAAAGAAAGTGTGGGGTTGAACAAACACAACACAGGTTGGCAGCCACCATTCAAACAGAAAGACACCTTGTTCTACAGCACTGCTGTTGTTAGGGGTTCTGTTTCCCACGCTGTTCGTCTGAAAGTGTGGGGACGCATCTGTTGTCTCTGTTTAATAAGGTCAAAGTTGTAAGGTGCTTAGGACTAGGCCAGCTTGCAGTAAGCCCTCAATGAGTTCCGCAGGCTTTGGACTCACCTCCACCATCTCTCCCCTGGGGCCACCTCTTAGAGCTGTGCTCCCTGTGGGAGGCCAAGCTGTCCCCAGCTGTGGCCCAGCACCACTGACCCTTGTGTCCCTGATTTTCCTGCAGAAGCTGCTTTTTGCTGGCTCCCGTTCTCAGCTTGTTCAGCTGCCCCTGGCTGCCTGTGGCAAGTACCAGTCCTGCGCAGACTGCGTCCTTGCCCGGGACCCCTACTGTGCCTGGAATGTCAACACCAGCCGCTGTGTGGCCACAGGTGGCCACTCTGGGTGAGTTGGGCTCCAAGGATGGTGACTTGGGCATTAGAGGGCAGATAGGCTGCAGCCAGGGTGCTGACACCCCCGATTCCCCTCCAGATCTCTGCTGGTCCAGCATGTGACCATCTTAGACACAGCAAGCATCTGTAACCTGCATGGCAGTAAGAAAGGTGAGCTGTCCTTTTTGTTCCCCTGCCACTGAACCCCCGGGCCTCAGTTAGAGACCCTCTGTCCCCTGGCCCTGGGTTCATCTCAGTAACTCTGCTCCTGTTTCTACTGTTACAGTCAGGCTCACACCCAAGAACATCACAGTGGTAGCGGGCACAGACCTGGTGCTGCCCTGCCGCCTCTCCTCCAACCTGGCCCGTGCGCGATGGACCTTCAGGGATCGGGATCTGCCTGCAGAACAGCCCGGCTCCTTCCTCTATGACACCCGTCTGCAGGCCCTGGTGGTGATGGCTGCCCAGCCCCGCCATGCAGGCACCTACCACTGCTTTTCAGAGGAGCAGGGGGCACGGCTGGCTGCAGAAGGCTACCTCGTGGCTGTCGTGGCAGGCCCATCTGTGACCTTGGAGGCCCGGGCACCTTTGGAAAACCTGGGGCTGGTATGGCTGGCTGTGGTGGCGCTGGGGGCCGTGTGCCTGGTATTGCTGCTGCTGGTTCTGTCACTGCGCCGGCGACTACGGGAAGAGTTGGAGAAAGGTGCCAAGGCAGCTGAGAGGACCCTGGTGTATCCCCTGGAGCTGCCCAAGGAACCCACCAGTCCTCCCTTCCGGCCTGGCCCGGAAACAGATGAGAAACTTTGGGATCCAGTTGGCTACTACTACTCTGATGGCTCGCTCAAGATTGTGCCTGGACACGCAAGGTGCCAGCCTGGTGGCGGGCCCCCCTCCCCCCCTCCCGGCATCCCCGGCCAGCCCCTGCCTTCTCCAACTCGGCTCCACCTGGGGGGTGGGCGGAACTCAAATGCCAATGGTTATGTGCGCTTACAGTTAGGAGGAGAGGACCGGGGTGGGCACCCCCTGCCTGAGCTCGCTGATGAACTGAGACGCAAGCTGCAGCAGCGCCAGCCGCTGCCCGACTCCAACCCAGAGGAGTCCTCGGTATGAGGGGACTCACTGCATCGGCGGGGCGCGCAGGAGATGCAGCTCCTACTTTTGCACAGGCACCAGCTACCTCAGGGACATGGCTCGGGCACCTGCTCTGCCTGGGACTGGCACTGCCCAGCACCTGCCTGGCCATGAATACCTGCTCAGCATGGGCACTGCCACTTGGAGTGGCTCTCCAGGGCACCAGCCTTCCTCCCCTGTGAATCTCGGACATGTGGGACCCCCAGCAGCCAAAACTTTGCAAGGCAGAAGTTGCAAGATTTGGGTGTGTCTGTGCAGGTGTGTGTTCGCGTGTGTGCATGGGTGTGTGGATGGGTGAGTGGATGAGGCACAGCCTTCGGGTTTCTGTGGAGTCTTCCCTTGGCCTAGGGTCCTCCTGGTGAGTCTTTGGAGCTATGAAGGGGAAGGGGTCGGATCACTTTGTCTCTCTTACCCCCATCTGTCCCAAATTCGGGGCACCCGTGTACATATGGGGGTGGGGTGGGCAGTGCTGTACCCTTCTGGGGGGTGGGGAGGAGCGCAGGGCCCAGGGGTGGGGCTAGCCCTATCCCAGGGCTGTGAATGTTTTCAGGGTGGGGGGAGGGAGATGGCGCCTCCTGTGTGTTTGGGGGAAGGGTGGGCGGGGCCTCCCTCTGGGCCCCAGTTCCAGTGGTATTTTATACTCGTCCTCTTCCAGGGCGGGGCTGGGAAAGATGGTGAAGGGGAGAGGGAGGGCATGCTGGCAGAAGCGTATCCTCTCCCGGCCCAGGAAGAGGGCTCCGAACAGTGTAACTTATTGTGTCCCCGCGTATTTATTTGTTGTAAATGTTTTGAGTATTTTTATATTGACAAATAAAACCGAGAAAATGAAACTTACTGGGATGAGGTCAAGGCATTCTGTGCTAGGCCTTATCTCTCCGGATAGGGAGAGTGAAGGTCCCTTGGGTCATGAGGGAGGCTGGATTCACCCCCATATTCCTGGCTGTGGTCCCAGGGCAGCCTTCCCTGCTGTGGTCCCTGGCTGCCCGTGCCCCCTGGGGGGACAGCCCAGACTCCAGTGTTTTCCCACAGTTGTGCCTATGGGGCTGGGAACCAGACCAGGGCCATAGCCCCTGGGACCCAGCCTGGCTCAGGGCCAGAGGGGCGGGGGAGGTGGGAGTGGAACTAGCCCCCCCCCTCCCGTGAGTGGGAGTGAGGGGACTTCCTAGAAGCGCTGAAAAGCAACGAAAGGGAGTCGCTTGGAGTCTGGACTCCAGCTCAGCTCACTAGGGAAGAGAACTAGGCTGCTGGCCTAGAGAGCGCTAGTCCTGATGTCCTGACCATGTAGGGAAGGAGACACCCTGAATTCCCAGCCCTGCACTGGCCAGGGAGAGGTGCAGAGCCCAGATGTTCCTCAGACAACAGGCCCCAGCCTGGGTGCGCTGCTGAGTGCCAAGGATAGGTTAGATGTAGCAAACCCACGCCTAGGCACGGGGCCTGAGCTCCCCTGAGTGGTAGAGCAGGCTGGGGCTGGGACTTGAGTTGCTGTCCTTGGCGGTGGTCCACAGCCATCGGCCCTGGGGACATTTTGGGAAACATGGAACTGGATTCAGTAAAGCAAGTGAGGGCTTGGCCTGGGTGGGAGGCTCTAGTCCTGTCCTTGGGGTGCTTCTTTCTAGTGACTGTAGTTGGCCACCTGCTCTCTATTTCTTCGCTGGGGATTGAACTAGGGGTTTTGCACTGATCTACATCCTAGCCCTTTTTTGAGACAGTCTCACTAAATTGCCCAGGCTGGGCTCTGATTTGCAATCTTGCCTCAGCCTCCCAGAGTGCTGGGATTACCAGAGGACACCACCTCGCCTGGCTCCCTATTGAATTCTGAAGGAATGAGGAGGGTGTCGCAGGCATTGCAAACAGCCTTTCGCCACCCTTGGTTGGCTTGATCTGGGGGATACTGCAGGGGTGGGGTGCGATGGGGTGGGGGCCGAGAAGAGGGTGGTAACTGGAACAGCTCCCAAGGCTGACCGACAGGACACGGTCGCCACGCCCAGCCGCGGAGTCCCCTCCCCAACCCAGCTGCAAGGCGCGACGCCCCGCCCTCGCGGCCTCCCATTCCCAGCGCCGCCAATCCTCCCGTCCTCGGCTAGCCTAGCACGCCCTCGCGTGGCCGCGTCGAAAAGAGGCCTGGTAGCTAAGCTCCGCCCCATCGCGCGATTGGCTCTCCAGGTAAGGTCTAGGCGCTGGATTGGTTAATTTGGTGGGGGGCGGGACCTCAGGACAACCGCGGACGCTGAGTGGTAAAATTGCGACGGTGGGGCGGGCACTACTTCCACCTCTCTCCCTGCCGCAGAGGCCTGGATGGCGGCGCCGCATCCTTGTGGGGACGCGCCGTGCTGCTCGTGCCCGGGAGGGGTGCCCGGTGTGCAGCAGACACTGGAAGAGATGGACTTCGAGAGAGGTGAGTGCACACCATACGGGCACGGACACCGAACCGTCGTTTCCGCAAGCTGCCTAAGCGATGAGGCCGAGTCTGGGTCGTCCCACCTGCGCTTGGAGGGGGGCCGGGAGCCGACTCTGCCGCCGGGGCAGCGCTCCCCCGGAGGCCAGGGGCCCCAGGTTCGGGTCTGCGCGGTGCAGCGGTGGGCCTGGGCTGCTGGGCGGCGCATAGCCTGAGAAGCGGCCCGGAACTCGGCAGGTGCCAGGGAACAGGGTCTTCCGTCCCTGCTTAGAGGTACACGCTGCGCCGCCGGTGCGTTCCCACCGGACCATTACCGCAGGGCAGCTGGCCTATGCCTGTCCACTTCCTCCACCCCACCTGTGCCAGCCTCCAGGCTAAGAGTGGGGCGTCTGCGTTCAGGCTTGCGCGGGCCCTGTCTTCCTATCGCCGCTCAGCAGCTAGAGGAGCCTTTGGAAAATACCGAATCGTTATTTCGATTCTTGGGGCTTTATTTTTTATTTTATTTTATTTTTTCCTGGGGCTTTTAAAGAATTGTTTTTTGAGGCAAAGTCTCACTGTGTAATTTTGCTTCAAAATTATGATCCTCTTGCCTTGACTTTCTGAGCACTAGGATTACAGAAGCTTCCCATTACCTTTGGTTTGTTATCTCATCTTCATGCTGAACTGTGTCCCAGAACACGCACACACACACACACACACACACACACACATATATTTAGGGAAGGGTAGATCGGACTCGTAGTGATTCTCCTGTTTACAGCCTCCCAAATGCTGGGATTACAGGCACACGCCTTCGCAATCACCTACTCAGGGTGCCCTAAGGGGCAGGGCCTGCATGGCAGGCCCTGGGATTGAACCCCAGCCCCTATGACTGCCTACAGGCGCTTTAATCCGTTAAGCTATTTAGCCAACCCCCACCCCCTTTTTTTAATCTTTTATTTATTCATTTGGTACAGGGTCTTTTTTTTTTTTTTTTGGTGGGACTGGGGATTGAACTCAGGCCCTTGCACTTGCGCTTACTCTACTGAGCCGCCTTCCCGGCCCCTTGGTACAGGGTCTTGCTACACAGCTGGAACTGATAATGATCCTCCTGTCTCAGCCTCCCCAACACTGGGATTACAGGCATGGGCCACCATGCCTGGCATGGCATGTGGTGCCGGGGGTTGAACACTGGGCCTTGGCTCACCAGGCAGGTGCTTAGATCGCTGAGCTATCTCCTCAGCCCCCAGCCCTCTTTTTTCTTTTCTTTTTCTTTTTCTTTTTCTTTTTTTCCCACTAAGTCCCTAAGTTGCCCAGACTGGGCTTAGACTTTGAATCCTCCTGCTGCCAACTCCCAGAATGCTGAGATTACAGGTATGCACCTCCATTGTTTGTGTTTGTTTGTTTATTGTACTGGGAGTTAAACTCGGGACCTTGCGCTTGCCAGGCAGCCCTTGTGCCACCGAGCTACATCCCCAGCCCTGTCATTGCTTTTAGAAGCAATCCAAACTCCCTAATATGGCTTACAGGGCTCCTTGGACCTTGTTACGCCTGCTGTATTTCTCCACTTTCATTTCAAGTCTTCTCCTTGACTGCCTGCAGTTACCGCTAGGCATCAGCCACACCGGTCCATTTGGGTTTTTTTGTTTTTGTTTTTTGGGTTTTTTTTTAGGGAACAGAGTTACTGGGTACTAAACCTAGGGCCTCACACATGCGAGCCAAACACTCTACCACTGAGTTACGTCCCAGGCCTTTGCTTTTCAGACAGGGTCTTACAGAGTTCCCCAGGAGGCCTTCACCTTGTGATCCTTCCGCTTTAGCTTCCTGAGTGGCTGGGATTACAGCATACACCTATTTCTGGGTCTCTGCTTAATTTTTATTTTTTTTTATTTTTTTTTTAATTTTATTTATTTATTTATTTGAGAGAGAGAGAGAGAGAGAGAGAGAGAGAGAGAGAGAGAGAGAGAGAGAGAGAGAGAGAGGCCAGCTCAGCCCACCAGGGGGCGGGCCGGCTGGCATGTGGTGCTGGGGGATTGAACCGCGGTCCCTGATGCTTTTGCTAAGCTTGTTCTAAGTAGGTGCTTTAGACCACCGAGCCATCTCTCCAGCCCTCTGCTTAATTTTTAGAGAACATTGTACCACCTAACTTATTTTATAAACATATGGAATATGCATGTAGAAAAGTGTAATACATATATATGTGTATTGACACATAAAATACTTTATATATAAATAGATCACATTATGTTTATATGTAATGTATAAACATGTATGCATATGTTTCTTATTTTTCTTCTTTAAATGAAATATAGGCTCCATTAAGCCAAATTTTTGAGTTTTGCTTATCCTTGACTGATCTCACATGCCTACAACAATGTCAGGTACGTAGGAAGAACAGGTCAGTTATCCCTTACCTCAAATGCTTGGGGACAGGAGTGCTTTGGATTTGGGACTTTTTTTTTTTTTTTCAGATTTAGAGATTTTTTATTGTTTATTATTTACTTATTTATGTAGTCTTTTTGAGACAGGGTCTCACCGTGCAGTTCAGGCTGGCCTTGAGCGTACTTTGTAGTCCAGGCTGGTCTCCACCTCACAGTGACCCTCCAGCCTCAGCCTCAGCCTCCTCAGTGCTGGGATTACAGTTGAGTACCACTATGCCCGGCCAGATTTGGGGATACAGTGGTTCCTCCCTTAGTGTGGAGGTTACGTCCCAGACACCCCTGTGATAAGTGAAAAGCAGTGAAACATCGATGTTATATTTATTTTAGAAATATACATATATATTTAGTTTCATAAACCCTTCTCACACTCTTATAAACCTTTCCCACACTTTTAAAGTACTTCTAGGGCTGGCCAAATAGCTCAGCAGATTAAAGCACCTGCAAACAGGGGCCGGGGTTCGATCCCTGGGCCTGCTATGCCAGCCCCGCCCCTGGGGTGCGCTGAGATGGCAAATGAGACTGGGCATAGAGGCAGGCACCTATAATCCCAGTTCTTGGGAGGCTATAAACAGGCAGATCACTACCAGTCCGATCTAGTAGTAAGACCCTGAACACCCTGTAGACCCTTCCCTAAAAATGCTAAACATAAAAAATAAAGCACTCCTAATATTCTTAACCATTTTCTAAGCTCGTAAACCTATGTAATTTTAACAACATACATATATTATATGGTACTGCAAAATCCTGTGATATAGCGAAAAATCCATGATAAATAATTTAGATTAATATTTTTTTAAAACCTGCAAAACAGTGAGTCCATGGAAGTTGAACCATGAAATAGGTAGTGTCTCAGTTACTTTTCTCTCATTGCTGGGACAAAATACCCTACACTCAAAATGGAAAAAGGAGGGGCTGGTGAGATGGCTCAGTGGTCTAAAGCACCTACTTAGAACAAGCTTAGCAAAGCACAGGGACCGCGGTTCAATCCCCCAGCACCACATGCCAGCCAGCCCCGCCCCCTGGTGGGCTGAGCTGGCCACACACACACACACACACACACACACACACACACACACACACACACACACACACACACACACACACACACACATATAAATAAAATTTTTTTAAAAAATGGAAGAAGGAAAGGTTTATTTAGCTCACAGTTAATGGAAGTTTCAGGCCATACTCAGCTGGATCCAAGGCAGAGCGGCACATCGCAGAGAACAACCTTCCATGGCAGCAGTAAAGAGCAGAGAGCAAAAGGGAGGAGGAGCAGCAACAGCAGCTGCAGAGAGCAAGCTGTCTCCCTCAGGTGCATTCAGGCTAATGGCCGCAGGCCGGGTGCAGCACTCGCACCCTTGATCCCAGCAGTAGTCAGACCCAGAATCCCAGCCGTGAATCGTGAATTAATCACCAACTCTAGAAGTCAGCTCCATACCTGCATGAGGCTTTGGGGGGACAGGTAGACACAAACCGTAAAAGCGAGGGACTACTGTATTGCATGTACTGAGATCTCTTGGGTATCAGACCGACTTCTAAGCCCAGTTCCTGTTTTTTCTGTGCCACATACACGTAGCCTGAAGGTGTTCTGGGCACTCATGTCCTCACTGAGTGAAAACAGGAGTGACTTTTCCCTTGTATCCTGTCCGAGGGGTCAGTTTGTGGGTTCAGTGGGGCTGCCCAGCTTGGAATGAACAGACTGCCAGGTGTGGAAGGGGGACATTCTCAGGAGCAGTTGGCTCCTGTGATGCTCCTTCTGCCTCCCCTCTTCACTCACAGCCTTACTCCACCTCCCTGCCACCCAGGGTCCCCACACTTGTCTCTCCTAACTTCTTGGGCACTGGCATCAAAGCCCCTGAGGTGTGTCCAGCACCAGGTACCTCAGGGCTATATGGCTTCAGTGCCCCTCCCCATTGTGGCTATCTATGGTCTCCACTCTGTTTGTTTGGGTTTTTGAAACAGTGTCTCCTCAGTACCTCAGGGCACCCTTGAATTTACTGAAAGCCTCCCGCCTCAGCCTCCCAGAGCTGGGATTATAGGCATGGCCAAATCTTGCCATTCATAGACTCGGAGACTTGGTTCCGGCCCTGGCCGCGTGGTGTGCTCAGTCTTTGCTTGGCTCCCTGCAGGCATCTGGTCGGCAGCCCTGGACGGAGACTTGGGCCGTGTGAAGTCTTTCATCCAAAAGCCCACAGACCCCAGCCAACCCGACTCAGCTGGCTACACCGCCCTGGTGAGGCTGGAGAGGGTCGCTTCAATCCACACTGGTGGCCTGCTATAAAGTGAGCCACATGTGGATATACCACAGGTCCAAAATCAGCAGTGAAACCAATGTTGGAAGGCCAGAGCTAAGAGTAAAGCCCCATTCCTGTCAAGAGCTACGTCCCATTCCAGCAGCCCTCGTTCTGTCTCTCTTTCTGTGTCTCTCTTTTCCTCTGTGTCTCTGTCTCTCTCAGCCTCGGGCTTTTCCAGCAAGCTACATCCCTAGCCCCTACCTCCACCCCCCCCCCTTTTGTGTGTATTTGGTACAGAGCCTCACTACACAGCCTGGAGCCGTAGTGATCGAACCCAATCCCTGCGCTTGCCTACGTAGGTGCTTAGTCCGCTGAGCTAGCTCGCTGGCCCTCCAGCCCCATTTTTATTTTGTACTTAGACACAGGATCTTCCCACAGTGCCCAGGCTGGCTTCAATTTGTAGTCCTCCTGCCTCATCCTTCCAGAGTTACCTAGTAGCCCAGGCTGGCATTAAAACTCACAATATTCCTGCCTCATCCTCCTGATTGCTTTTTACATTTCCACATACTAAGGAAAACGTGTGATACTTGTCTGCATGTGGCTTCTTCCACTTAATATGATGTTCTCCAGACCCACCCATTTTCCTGAAAGTGAATTTCATTCTTTTTTATGGCTGAGTGATATTCCGCTTTGTGTGTGTAACATTTATCCATTGATGGGCAGCATACCTGGGCTACTGTGAATTGTGCTGCAATAATCAGGCGTCTGCAAGTGTCCTGTACTGTTTTGTGCAAAGATGTAGAGCTACATCAAATGATAGCTCTGTAGGTCTTGAGATTTGAGGACCCTTGCTGATTTCTGCAGTGGCCGTACTCTTACATTTCTGCAGCCGCGCCAGCACTATTGTTTTCTGAATTTTTTTTGTTTTAAGTCTGTTTGGTACAGGGTCTCACTACACAGCTCAGACTTGTAGTGATCCTCCTGTTTTTAGCCTTCCCAGCACTGGGATTACAGGCGTGCACCACCATGCCTGGACTCGTTGTCTGGATTCTTGATGATAGCCATTCTGACTGGGGTAAGGTATGGAGTCCCAATATGGTTCTTTATTTGAGACAAGGTCTTGCTATATAGCTCATATTGGCCTCAAACTCCCTGTAATCCTCCTGCCTCAGCCTCTGGAGTGCTGAGATTACAGGTGTGAGCCAACACACCCAGCTCAGTGTAGGGTTTTTTGGTATTTTTTAGGGAAGGGTCTACAAGGTGTTCAGGGTGTCACTGCTAGATCAGACTTGTAGCGATACACCTGTTTACAGCCTCTCAAGAGCTGGGATTGCAGCCCAGCACGTCAGGCCGAGGGATCAAATCCCCTGCCCCTGCACCTGCTTGCGGGCACTTAACCCTCTGAGCTATTTGGCCGGCCCTTCAGTGTAGCTTTGATTTGCGCTTTCCCAGTGGCTAGCTCGCTGGTTCTTTTTTGCATACTTACTGGCCACCCACACCACTTCTGAGAGTCCGCTGTTGGATGCTCTTGCCTGTGATGGCCGGGTTGTTTCCCTGAGGCCAGAGCCCTGCATCCTGCAGGCTGTCTCCTCACCCTGCTTGTCCCCTTGCTGTGTGGATACTGTCGAGTCTGTGTCCCATCTGAAGCTGTTGCTTATTCCCCGTGCTGCTGGAGTCCCAGCCGGAAGGCGTCCCCCGTGCCTGTGAGGCGAATTCTCTTTATTCCAGCCAGTTTCCCTCCCTAGCAAGCTGGCACCCACCTACAGTGTGCTGCTTAATGTTGCTTCCTGATCTGTGTGTAGGCCAGAGGTTGGGGCACCTCTTCCTGGGAGGAAAGTGGCAGTGGGGACGGGGCCCGAGCTCTGCCATCTGACCTCACTCTCTGCTCCCCACAGCACTACGCCAGCCGCAACGGGCACTATGCTGTGTGCCAGTTCCTGCTGGAAAGCGGAGCAAAATGTGATGCCCAGACGCACGGGGGAGCCACAGCCCTGCACCGCGCCAGCTCCTGCGGCCACACGGAGATCGCACGGCTGCTGCTGTCTCATGGCTCCAACCCCCAGCTGGTGGACAGCGACGGCATGACCAGCCTCCATAAGGTCTACCCCTCCCCCACTGAAATTGTCTTTGTTTTTATTTGGTGTTTTGAGACCAGGTTCGCTCTGCGTAGCTCAGGCTGACCTCAAACTCACAGCAGTCTTCCTGCTTCAGCTACCGCCATGCCCAGCCCCAAAACTTTCTTGTAAATCATGGGGCACAGGAGGGTGCATGCCTGTAATCTTAGGAGGCTGAGGCAGGAGGATCAAAAGTTAGAGGCAAAAAAAAAAAAGGCCAGGGAGATGGCTCAGTAGAATAAGCGCTCCCCTGGCAAGTGCAAGGGCCTGAGTTCAATCCCCGGTTCTGCCACACACACACACACACACACACACACACACACACACACACACACACAAAAGTTTGAGGCCAGCCTGGACTATAGGGTGGAAGTCTATCTCAAAAAATTAAAAAAAAAAAAAAAAAATGCCTGGCGTAGTGACACACACCTATAATCCCAACACTCAAGAGGCTGAGACAGGATCACTGCAAGTTCAAGGGCAGCCTGGGCTACGCAGTGAGTTCAGGGCCAACCTGAGCTACACAGTGAGACTGTCTCATTAAAAAAAAAAAAAAAAAAAAAAAAACAATGAAAAAAGAAGAGTTATAACATTCATTGTAGAAAACATGGGGGAAACAGCAAGGTATAGGGAAGAAAATAAAAATTAGTGCTCGCCTGGACCACCTCAGAATGAGTGGGTGATCTTTCAGCCTTGTCCCTGTGCAGACAAACAAGAATGCACGGTGTCCTTAGCTCTGCCTGAGATCCGGAGTCCTGAGGCTTGCTTTCTTCCTTTTTTCTTTCCTTTTTCTTTTTTTTTGCGGAACCGGGGATTGAACCCAGGCTCTTGCACTTGCCAGGTAAGCGCTTATTCTACTGAGCTCTCTCTCCAGCCACATGAGGTTTTCCGTGTAATTACTTCTTCACGCTGTGTCCTCTACCCTGTCAGAGCCAGAGTGATCCAATCCTGCTTTAACCTTTTTGGCTAGAGACATCCACACACCCAGTGAGGCATGCTGGGAAAATGAGGACCTGGAGCCCGTCCTTCCAAGGCATGTACTTACTGGTTCCTGGGGTGTCTTTAAGAGAGTGTGTGTGTACACGCGGCTTGAACCCAGGAACTTTATACTGGCCTACATCCCCAGCCCTTTTTACTTTTTACTTTTGAGACAAGGTCTCTAAGTTGCTGAGGCTTGGCTCAAACTACTGATTCTCCTGCCTCAGCCAGCTTCACGTTTTGTAAAAACATCACTCTGGATGAATGAGCCCCTGGCTGCCCGTAGGACCAGGACCCCCCACCTGGTGGAGGCAGCAAGGTGGGGAACCCCAAGTCCCAGCCCGAGAAGCTCTGTACAAGAAGATCCGGCTCAGGTTGTGGTGTGCTGGCTGCCGCCTTGCAGGCGTCCCTGCAGTGCAATCTATTTGTTGCTGGGAAGAGGAAGCAGTGGGCAACAGAGTCATCCAGAGTCCACAGTTGTGGCCAGCCCCGCCTGCCCTGAGACCTGGACGGGTTACTTACTGTGTTAGTGTAGACAGGGGTGCCCCCTGCCTCTGGGGGGTAGTCACAGTGAAATGAGACCTTTGGCGGGACTCACTATAAACTCATGTTTTGATGGAGGGGGCCTGGTGTCTTGGCAGGAGGAGCAAGCTTGGTCCAAAAATGTCCAGGTGTACCCTGCACAGCTGTGTCCGGAGGCCGGAGTGTGCCCAGTGCCCCTGCACCTGCCTGCTGGGACCCGGGGTGCTGAGCACATGAGGGCCAGGTGTGGACTTGATCAGTGTGGGTCTAGCTGGAGATATGAAGGGCCCTGAGGCAGAGGGCATGAGGAAGAAAGGTTGGGCTGAGTGCCAGGCTGGCATGGGGGCTTTGCCAGTCTGTGCCCAAGGCCCTGGGATTGGGCAGGAGTAGACAGCCACAGAGCGGGACCTGCGGGAGTCCTGGTACTGCCTACTAACAGAGCCTGTCTCTGCAGGCTGCTGAGAGGGGACACGGGGCCATCTGCTCCCTGCTGCTGCAGCACAGCCCGGCCCTCAAGGCCATCCGGGACCGGAGGGCACGGCTCGCCTGCGACCTGCTGCCGGGAAACAGCGCCCTGCGGGACCTGCTGGCCAGCTGAAGTGACCACGCCAAGCTGTGAGCACAGACACAGGGCCACAGCCTGCCCCACCTCCTCAACATCCACACTGCATACCCAGAACACCCAGGGCTGCTTCTAGCCAGGGTGGCAGCCAGGCGGGGCTGGCAGCATTTCAGCCAGGACAGACGATCCCATTCTGAGTTATTCCTGTGGAGACGTCTACCCACTGGGAAAAAATAAAGTATCTCCTGACCTCATGCCTTGCGCGGCAATGAGTGCCGAGCCAAAACGCCTCGCTTGGAAGCACAGACCTAAGGCGTGGGAGATGTTGACTGTAGGGCCGGCTTAGCCACTGGGGCTTGGAGCTTCAGCCTCGGTCTCTCCAGCCTCATCGGGGAGGTGGGGTGGTCACCACAGGCTGGCTCTGGGGACTCAGGAGGACACTTCAGCACACTCTGGGCACATCGTGCGTGTGCCTGGAAGCCGGGGTGCCGCTTGGCAGAGTCCTGTGAAGCCAGCAGCCCACCCGCAGCAGCCAGAGCCTACGTGGATGGAAGAATTGGAGCAGGGCTGGCGCTGGAGCTCATGTGAAGGTTCCGTTCCCAGTACTGGGGGCAGGGTGCTGTGAGGAAGAGTACTCGGCTGTTGGCCTTGAAATACTCCTGCAGATGCAGAAATACACGAAGAAAAGCCAGCAGTGCCCCTTGAAATGCACTGTGGATCCCCAGGCCACTGTTGAAACAGCTGGATAGAAGGTCAAGCTTTATGCTTGGATTAGTAATATTGTTTTGGGGGGATACAGCTCAGCGGCACAGTACCTGCCTAGAAAGCGTGATGGCCTGAGTTTGATTCCTAGTACAAAAAAGAAAAAATAAATTTTAAAAATATTTTCTGGTACTGAGGCTCAAACCCTGGGTGCTCAGTTGCAAAGCTACACTCCTAGCCTTTTTTTTATTTTGAGACAGTCTATGTTTGGGCTTCAACTTGCCGTCCTCCTGACTCAGCCTCCTGAGCAGCTGGGATTACAGGTGTACAGGAGGACCAAGCTAGAATAATGTATATTTTAAGTCATTTAACAGTTCACACGGGCTACACTGGCTTTCTGCTACGAATTGCAGGTGAGGCCCATTGTTGCCAGATGTTGGAGGGAGGAACACAGCAGGGGCGGAGCCAAAGCCTGGCTTTCTTACCTGCTCTCCTTCAGGTCCCTTAATGTCTTCCCTCCCCAGGATCAGAGTGGCACAAAGGACAGCAAGAGAGGGTAAAAGGCGTGGGGCTGTATCTGTAGCTGCAAGGTGGAGCACCTCAAAAGAAAGTCCCTGGTACCAAGGAAAACAGCTGACCTGGTGGGTGCTGTCAGAGGGAGCTCCGGCCCCTGCCAGCCCTTGGGCAGCGCTCTGGGCCTCCGCTGTCTTGGGTGGCTCTGCCCTGCCTGACTTCCTTCAAAGTCAAACAGAGTTCCAAGCCCTGCTGAGTGAAGGGCGCGTGGGCCTTCTGAAGGAGAGTGGGGGAATTGGATGACACGGCTGAAGACATTGCCGAGCAGCTGGGTTTATCATCACTGGAGTTGTTTGTGGTTGTTTATTTTTTGAGGCAAGGTTGCACTGAGTAGTTCAGGCTGGCCCTACGCTCACCATGTAGCCCAGGCTAGTCTCCAACTTACAGCAATCCTCCTGCCTCAGCCTCCGAGGGCCAGGATTACTCTACGCCCAGACAATGGTTACTCCACAGCAGGACCTGCTGCCATCTTGCTGCTCTGATAGGCGAGCTGTGTGCCCGCTGTGGACACCTGCATGGGGTGTCCAAGTCCCCAGAGCCTGAGCACCTGGGAGTGGCCAGGCACAGCTCCTGAGGGTGGGTGGCGTGGATTGCAGTCGTGGTGCAGGGCACAGGGATGTGGCCAGCAGCTGAGGCCTGTTTGCAGATTCCTGAGGCCATAGTCGGCCTCTTCATGACCCTCCTGAGGTACTCGAGGGACGCAGGCTCTTGTCCTTGTCCTCTGGACAACCGAGCCAGGTCTTCTTGGTAGTGCAGCTGGCTAGAACTGCGCCACAGATTGGGGTTGTACCCCTCCTGGGGACTCTGAACCCCACAGAGCAGGAAGTGTCCCAATGGGGGGTTCTAGAGGCCAGCAGTGGGGGGTGGCAGGCAGGGAGGCTGTGGCTCAGCTCTAACAGCTCTGCTCTCTGTGGAGCCAGCCACATTCTGGGCCAGCTGGGTATTTTGGTTGCTGTGACAGGCCCCCAGAGCCATTCTGCCTGGGCAGGAGCCAGCCCCTCCCACCTGCGTGGGAGTTCACTCCCCTATAAGAGGGTGGAGTTCCTCCAGGCTCCAGAGGCGTGGAGAGCAGGGGGGGACCATGGACTTCATCAGCATTCGGCAGTTGGTGAGGATGGGCTCTGCGCTTGGTGGCCTGCAGCTGGGGCTGCGGGGTGGTGAGGGGCTGGGAGCAAGGGGGACCCTAAAGGGCATGCCCTCAGGTTCAGGCTCTCACAAGCTGTGCCACACTATGGCTGGGTGCGCCTCGCCCTGTCCTGGACTAAAGGGGCTGCTCCTGAAGCTGTGGGTAGTGGGGCATCCAGGCACCAAGGGTCTGGCTGCTTTGGTGGCCAGAGGAAGGGGGCCCTGGGTGCCATGGGCAGCGAGAAACAGCAGTGCCTGCAGTGCTCTGGGGGGAGGCTGAGCTTGGGGGTCTGGCAGTAGCCCCAGTTGGCTGCAACCCCTGACAGGAGGTGGCTTCTAAAAGCGAGCTGCGTCAGGGCTGCTGCTTTAGAGGAAATTCAGTTCTCAGCCGGAAGCCCTGGGTGGTGCCAGCCCATAATTCCAACAACCCTTCTCTTCCCCCATATGCACCTTCCCAAGGGTGCTGCGTCTGCCCAGCCACACAAGTGCCAGAAGCTCCTGTGGCCTTCACAGCACCCTTGAAAGTGCTGGCACGAACCCATTTCATAGATGTGAAAACATAGCTTCCCACACCCAAGCATAGGACCCAGAATTGGCCCCAGAGGCATCTCCTCTGTCCCCGCAGGCCTGAGGTCAGGTGGCAGTGTGGCATGATCTGCCAGGAATGCAGGGACAGCAGCCCAGGAGGAAGGCTGAGGTGGTGTCAGCCCCTGGCTCCCGGGCACTGGCCCAGCAATCTAAATAGCCCAGGTCACCCAGCCTCGGCCCGTGATCCGCTGATGGCAGCAGGTAGGCGGTGGCAGTTGCCACCCTGGGCCTTGGTCGTCGCCAGAACTGGTGAGGGCAAACACAGGTGCTGGCTGCTCTCGAGCACCAGCATGCTTATCTGTGGTCTGAGTCAGCTCCCGGCAGCCATCACAACTCTATTTTTTCTCGCTCTCCTTTTTAAAAAATTCAGCAATGGGGATCGAGCCCAGGGTACATTAAGCTGCATCTTAGCCTTTTAAATTTTAAGCCAAAGGCTTGTTAAAGTGCCCACCCTGGGCTTGAACGTGCAGTCTTCCTGCCTCAGCCTCAAGACTGTTTTCTAAGGGTTCCTCCACTTTTCCTGATTCTCCGTCCACATCTTGCCCATAGGTGAGTGGAGAAAGAGATGAAGGGAAAGTGTTGGGGTTTGGACATGCAGCTCCAGATCCTGGAGGCCTGCCTCGGGACTGGAGGCTGAGCTCCCATGAGGCTGTGGCCCGGGAGAAGCTGAAACAGGAGGAAGAAAAGAAGAAGAGAGTGAGTGACTCTGGTGGCGTTGGCGGTGGGTCCCAGGCGGGTACCGGGCCCAGGTGTCCCTCCAGGCTGCACCAGCCAGGCTCTGATGACCAAGGGCCCGTGACCGCCAACCCCTGCCATGAGGCTGACTGCTGGCTTAGTCTTGTCTTTGCCCACTTTCTGCCCTAGCTGGAAAAATTCAACAGCTCCAGAATGAACCTGGAGAAGCTGGAAGACTTAGAAAACTTGGTTCAAAGACGGAGAGAAAAGCGACTAAGACGCAGAGTCCCCCCCAGGGAGCCTGAGCCCGTGGCTGAGGTGAGTGGTCAAGGGCTGTAGGCACACCCAGAGCTGTTCCAGGGGCATTTCCTGCCATCCTTGGGGGCTGGGGGAAGAGGTGATGCCAGAGCCACCCTGCACAGCCCAGGGCCCCTTGGTGTCTGCTGGGACAACCAGGGCAGAGGCCCTGGCTGTCTCACAGTTCTGGGGGCTGCAGGCTCAAGTGTGCAACCCCCTTCCCAGGTCCCTGCAGTCCCTAGCTTGTAGGTGCCTTGCCACCCCTGCCCTCTTGTTCCACAATGTCCTCCCATGTCGCTTGTGGCGACAGTACCAGTCCCAAAGTAGAGCTCCTTTGGCACTGTTGTATTGGAAAGGGGCCACCTTTCCAATGGAAATCTGCAGGGACAGCGTTTCTAAGGTGCCAGGGCTAGGTCTTCAGTATGCGGATGTGGGGGCACAGATGTGCACAGCCCCTCCACTGCCTACCCAGTCGCCTGGGAGGGAGGCTGGACACTGGGGAGCACTTGCCTGCACCCGGAGTCTCTGGCCTGGGCTGGGGATGTTGTGGCTGCCTGCCGGTCTGGGGAATGACACGGTCTTGTCTTGTGCTCACCCAGCCCCAGGCCCAGCCTGGACCTGTGGACCTGGAGATGTTCCTAAAGGCAGCTGCTGAGAACCAGGAGGACCTGGTGGACAAGTACCTAACAGACGGAGCGGACCCCAGTGCCCATGACAAGGTGGCACAGCCATGTGATATTCGTGCCACTTCATACATCCTGGTCCTGTCCAGGACATAGGGAGCTTTTCGTGAGCATGGATGTGATGGCGTGATGTGAGCAGGCGGGAGGGCCCCAAACCGGTGGTGTGGTGAATGATATTCAGGGCTCTGCTCTGAGCTCGACTGGGTGATCGCTTCTCTACCTAACCTGCCCTGTCACCGCAGCTGCACCGCACGGCCTTGCACTGGGCCTGCCTGAAGGGTCACAGCCAGTTGGTGAGCAAGCTGCTGGCAGCTGGCGCCGCGGTGGATGCACGTGACCTGGTAAGCCCCGGGAAGGCCATGCCCTGGCCAAGCCCTGCCCAGTGTCCACACACTGAGTGCTGCCCCTTGTGTCTCAGCTGGACAGGACCCCTGTGTTCTGGGCCTGCCGGGGAGGACACCTGGACATCCTCAAACAGCTGCTCAACCAGGGAGCCCAGGTCAACACCCGGGACAAGGTGAGGTGGCAGCTACCTGCCTGGGTGGCCATCAGACGGGGCAGGAGTCGCCAGCCTAGAATCCACGCTGACCCCACATCCTCCTAGATCTGGAGCACCCCCCTCCACGTGGCAGTGCGCATGGGCCACTCTGACTGCCTCGAGCACCTTGTGGAGTGTGGCGCCCACATCAACGCCCAGGACAAGGTGGGCGCTGGGTTTCTCTCAGGACGTGGACGAAGGGGCTGCTCAACCCTCTAACCAAGGGTCCAATGTGCAGACAGGAAATGACCTCCTCTCTCCACAGGAGGGGGACACAGCTCTCCATGAAGCTGTACGCCATGGCCACTACAAGGCCATGAAGCTGCTGCTGTTGTACGGTGCCAAGCTGGGCATGCAGAATACGGTGCGTGTGGCTGGCCAGGTCCAGGGTGGCTGGGGCTGTGGCAACAGGGATGACTGACCTGGCCTCCTCGTTCCAGGCCTCTCTGACCCCTGTGCAGCTGGCCCGGGACTGGCAGCGGGGCATCCGGGAGGCGCTGCAAGCCCATGTCCGGCACCCTCGCACCCGATGCTAACAGCACAGGTGGCGGGGCCCTTGGCTCGGTCGTCCTCTCAGCCCCTTGGCTCCCTGTACTGCGGCATGTGGCCCCTGACCTCAGTTCTGTTCCTCTTGGCCCGAGGCAGCCCCACAAAGGTCAGCAGGTGGAGGGCAGGTACCTGCTGTATGGGGCACTGCTGCCCATTTGGCCGAGGCTGGGATGGGCTCATGCAGGGCCACAGGTGGCAGGTGGCAAAGCCAGTCCAGGACAGAGTGGAAGATGGGCTGGAGAGGAAGCAAGCTGGCTGGGGTGAAGAACCAGACATCCTCAGTATCCCCTCAGCCTCATACTGGCTCTCATGGAGGGGAACATCTGGTCTCCTACATGGTGACTCAGATGTGGCCAGTGGCTGCATCCCAGACACGAGACCACAGCAGGCCAGGCTGGCGCCGGCAATGGTGTGACCACTGCTGCCTGGGTGGGTCTCCCTCCAGACCCCTCAGTGGCAACCCTGATGGGTCTGGAGTGGCTCTGGTCCCAGGTACTCTGGTGGGTTCTGGGGTCGGTCCGCAGGGTGCTCAGCAGGCCTGAAGCCCACAGGACCGACCCCAGAACCTTCCAGGTTGCCTCAGAGGCCTAGGACCAATGAGCTAGGGCCAGCACCCTTTTGCGGCCTGCTGCACGGTCAGAGCTGGTGGCTCTCCTCCTGGGGCATAAGCCCAGTGCTAGGGTTGCTTGTGGCCCACTCAACTCCTGGGGCGGTGGCCCGCAACCCTTGCTTCCCTGGGCCTCTGCTGCCCTCTGGTGCTGGAGCCCTGCAGCTACCCTCCTCCACCCCCGACCCCTCCCTGGCAGCACACTGAGGAGCTCTGCACCCAGCTACAAGCAGGCCAGGAGACAACCAGACACCCTCCCACCATGGCCCAGCCTGCAGGCTCCATTCTACACTCCCTCCACGATGCTTCCTTCCTTCCTTCCCGTCCACAACCCCTGGCAGGGCTGGCTCCGTAAGTGCCAGAGTGGCCCTGAAGAGCTGTCCCCCAAAGCAGCACAGGTGTGTGTGGTGGTGGTGGGGGCATGATGACAGAGGCCTGGCCCCCCTCATGTGGTCCTGGGTTAGATGCAGCACCCGAGGTGGCGTTCATTCGGCAGCACTTATCCTAGTGTGACCATAGTGGCCTCCTTAGGCCACAAGAAGTCTACTGTACTAGAAAAGACCAGTGAGCACCTGCTCTGAGCCACACACCTGTCCACGGGCAGCTCTTACCGTGGCAACAGAGCCAGTATGTGCCGTGACGTAGGTGCCATGGACAATACAGGCACTCCTGACTAAACGGGATAAGTCCTCTACAAATGAGGACATGCAAGTGACAGACAAAAGCACCTTTTTATACAGATCAGTGTATTTTGTTCATTAAATTGGCTGATTATCCATCACGGCTGGGTCATCTTTTTGGGCTGGGAGAGGCCAGTGCATTGGTCACCAGGTACAGCGTGGCAGGCCAGGGCCTTGACATCTTCAGCTGCAAAGCTCAAGCCTATACCAGTGCCAGCCTGATGGAAAGGGCACCCACACGGCCACCTCAGTGCGGGCCCTGGCACTTGGCAGTTCTGCTGTGTGCGCCCTTGCTCACAGATGGGCAGGTTCAGAGGGCAGCAGGCTGAAGCCTCAGCTGATTGTCAGAACCGCCAGGGGCATGTGTAAGGTCCTGGTGTCCACAGCTTTAGGTCAGTGGACTACATGCTCCTGGGCATACACTGGGAAATCCTGAGGAATCCACCTGAAACACACATCTATATGGAGAGCGCCCAGCGTGCTCTCAGGAAATAACCTGAACACCCAATAATCTGCTTCTCACTACCAGCAATGAACACGGGGGCACAGGAAGCAGGTACACCTGTGTATGAAACTGAACTACTCAGGCTTAAATCTTTTTTTTTTTTCCAGAACCGGGGATGGAATTCAGGTGCTTGCACTTGCCAGGCAAGCGTTTATTCCACTATTTTTAAAAAATCATTTTAAAAAATGCCAAAATCTGCAAACCAAAATGAAATCCAAATTCATATAAATGGAGACAGACCATGTTCATAGGTTGAAAGACAAGTTAGAAACGACGTCACAATGGTCACAACTGAGATCATAGCAAAATCTTTAGTAGATATAAATGAGGTCATTCTAAAATAAGTAAACTTTGTAAAAAATAAAAAAAAAAACTTATAGTGAGAACGATTTTGAAAAGAAGTGGGAGATGAAAATCAGTCTACTGTTTTGCAGACTTCCTGCAAGGTACAATAGCAAGACAGGGTGACACGACAAAGGGACACAGAAAAACTATATAAAAATGCCAGCTTTTTGCTTTTTTATTACTAGTTTAGACCTCAGCCTCACATACGCTGGGCAAGTGTCCAGGGCCACATGCCCAGCACTTTTCAATTTTAAAGGTCTCAATGGCCCAGGTTGGCCTCAGACTCGTGATCTTCCCGCTCAGCCCCCAGTAGCAGGGCTGACAGGCATGCAGCACCAGGCCTGGCGAAGGCGCAAAGCCTCCGAGCTCCTGGGGCGGGGGTGGGGGGTGGAGGCTGCCTTTTTAGCCAACAGTGCTGAAACAGCCGGGCATCTGTAGGCTTTAAAAGCCAAAATCTGAGCACTGACCTATGTCTCCCAGTTTGTAACCAAGATTCACTCAAGAGTCACAAGCTTAAATGAGAAACATGAACCTTTTGCCCGGCATGGTGATACACACTAATCCCAGCTATTCAGGAGGCTAAAGCAGGAGGGTCACGAGCTCAAACCTACCTTGAGCAATTCCATGAGATCCTTTCTGAAAATGAAAGGCTCAGGATATAGTTCAGTGGCCCCTGCGTTCGATCCTATCTCCAAAACATAAAGCAAAGATACCCTTTAGGGAGAATGTAGGTAACATCCAGGATCTAGGACTAAGTAAAGGGATTTTAGATACATAAAAATAATCAGCAACTGCATCAAAATTAAAAGCCCCTTGGGGCTGGAGAGATGGCTCAGTGGTCTAAAAGCACCTACTTGGAAAAAGCTTGGCAAAGCACAGGGACCGCAGTTCAATCCCCCAGCACCACATGCCAGCCAGCCCCACCCCCTGGTGGGCTGAGCTGGACACACCTGGACACACACACACACAAAATGTAAAAAAATGTTTTTAAAAAACAAAATTAAAAGCCCCTGTGGGGAGGATGAATGTGCCCGTCAGCGTCAGCTTCTGCCCATGACAGCGCCCGCCATCGCCTGCTCAGAGGAAAGCTTCATCTGGGCTCATGTTCCACAGGCCGGAGCCGTGTCCGTGTGGCCGTCACTCTGGGCCACACATGTCACAGCAGAAGTACAAGGTATGGAGGTCCCAGTGTCGCCCCCCAGGACAGTCCCTGGCCTAACCTCCCTCCTCTGTCAATAGTGCCTCAGGACAGGGACCAAGCTTTAGGAGTCTCCAAGGGCATTTCAGATGGCAACCCTCACACTACAGACCATGGTAAAATGTCTGCATGCCAAAAAACAGACTCTAGTATTTAGAATATAGCAGGAATTATCAAATTAGTTCAAAACAAAACAAGCCCAGTGTTGGCAGACGCCTGTGACACCAGCACTTGGGAGGCTGATGGATGACTGTGAGCTCAGGGCCAGCCAGGGCTGCAGTGAGACTGTCTCCAATCAACCAACCAATCAATGGTCAAATAATTAGCAAATAGGTAAAGAACATGGACACATACACCAAAGGGAAAAGGGAAGCTCTAAGCAGGACCCCACACACCTATCAGACAATGCAAGCACATAGCAGTGGCGGCACCGAGTGGCCACGAGGACCTGGAGACTGATCACCCTGCAGTACAGGTAAGAATGAAAGATGGCGCAGGCGTGCCAGAGCACGGCGGCTCGTTACCAGAACACAGGTCAACCACAGCACCCAGCACGGCACGCCTGGAGTTTGTCCTGGAGAAAGCCCGCCCCTCCTTCCACACACACCTCCAGTGGACGTTTACAGCAGCTTTATTTGGAACAGCCCCACACTGGACACCAGTGATCTCCCTGGAGGGGACAATGACTATTCCACGAGAGACCGTGTGGCAATAGCAAGGGACGAGCCACTGCCATGCACGATGACCTGGATGTGCTCCAGAGAACAGAGTAAAAGGCAATCTCAAATGGTTTCACTGTGTGATTCCATTTATACAACAACTTTCTCAAACATGACAATATAACAGAGATGACGAACATAGTGGTTGCAGGGGTTAGGGCTGGGGGTGGCTCCAACAGGACAGGCCAGGGGACAGCCTCATGGTGACAGAAACGAGACAGGTCATAAGGGACAGTGGCAGCAGTGACAAAAGTACATGTGTGCCAACTGAAGCGGAACTCCCTGGCCACAACCTGCCATGCTAAGTCCAGGCTGTGACAGTAGTGGCACTGCCTAAGATGGGACCGTTGAGGTGGACTGGCTAAAGGGGCTAGGCGGCCTCTAGCCCTGCAACTTCCTATGAATCTGTCATAATTTCAAACAAAAAAAAGGAAAAAAAAAATAGCTGGAAGTGCAACTTGGTATTTTTTAGATTGGATCCTGTAACAGAAAAGGGTGGTACTAGAAACAAATGGAAAGGCCCAAATAAAGTCTGTAGTTAGGAGTATTGCACGACATTACATTTTTAGTTCTGATAAATGTACCACGGTTATGTAAGATGTTACCATCTGGGGAAGCTGGGGGAAGGGGATACAGAACTCTTCTGAGAATCTACCACTATTTAAAAAATTAAGCTCTGGGCCCAGAATTGCCACGTTCCAGGAGTGGGCCCAGGTACCCCCTTGTTCTAGGTGACACCAAGGTGTAACCAAGGTTCAGAACCACTGCTCTGGATAGAGAAGATGGGAGAGTTCCCTGCCCCCCGGGATGGTTCTAGAGCCATTCCTGGAGAAGTTTCCTTTGGTCCCCTCTAGGAGGACCCAAATTCCAGAGAGAAAGGCTCCAGAAATCCTCATCCCTCCCTCTCCACCTGTGACTCTCGTCTCTGTGATGCCCAGATTTTGAACTGAACTTTGAGAGGAAACATAGGCAAATTAGAAAAACAAGACTAATGCCTCCTCATTCCCACATCTCTAATAAAACAGCACTGGTAGGAAGAGGGCAGGACAAACAGCAACTGTTTTGGAGAGCTAAGAAAAACCTTGGTTTTTCTTAATCAAAGGACAGGTGTGCAGGTACTTGGGCACAGCCCAGCTGCGCCTCCTCTGCAGACCATGGGGGAGGGGACAGAAGAGGCACCACAGGCGACTGCCTCAGGGACAGCCTGACAGATGCAGCCAGGAGGAGCCCTCCTCCCATGGGAGACCTCTCAGCACACAAGGCTGACAGTGCTGGGTGGCGACCAAGCCCTGCAAGGCAGACTGCCCTTGCTGCTCAGGGCTCCCAAGACACTGGGGCGGCCTGCTGCGGCAGGAGGGTGCAGGATCAGGGACCGATTGGTGGAAACTGTACTTCTGGCTTTGGCACAGGGTACTGTGAGGGGAGTGAGAGAGGACACTGTGGACAAGGCTGTGGCCTGGATGCGGGGCCAACACGGTTCTCTCCGTGGGCTGGGAAGGTGCTGCCAGCAGCAGGGCTTGGCTGACTCGGAGCCAGGCATGAGTGGCGGCCGTGGGAGACAGCGACTGCACACACACGGAGCCCGGCACACAGAGGTATAAATACACTGCGGTCACAGCAGCAGAAGAGCAGGGGCTGGGCCCTGGGGACCAGAGATGATGCTGTTTCTGTTGCTCCTTCCAGATTGGCCTGGAGGGCTGGGCCCGGCAACCCCTCTCCCCAACAGCTCCCGAGAGGCTCCTGGCACTGAGGTGGCCCAGGCCCCACCTGCATGGACCATCTAAAACATGGCCCGGAGGGCGGGGACAGGGTGGTATGAAGCTACTGCTTGGCCCCCTCCAGATCCCCTTGAGCTTGTCCGTTCCAGCTCGGGCGTCTGACAAGCAGTTAAAGCCCTGGGTTCCGCCCAGGGCTATCCTCCACTGGGACACTGGGCCTGCTGGGATTGGACACTGCAGGAAAGAAGAAAAGGAACATAAAGGGCCATGCTGACCAGCAGAGCGCCTACCACTGACCCAGTGTGGGAGCTGCGGGACCAGACTGGCAGACAAGGCAGCTGGGCCCCAGGACAGCAAGGCAAAGCCAGGAGGGGCTGGTTAGGGACATGACCAGCCTGACTCGGTCTCAGAGGAGGAAGCCGCTCTGAGGACAGACACCACCCGAGATAGGACCCCAAGGGCCCTGGGCCAGAGGAACCTGCCCTGGACGATCATGCGTCCTGGGCTGGAGGGAAGCTATGTCCCAAGGCTGTGCGGGTGCCTGCAGCCCCACCTGACCTCCCAAAAGATGGGCGGTACACCCACCCCGCCCCCACCCTGGGACAAAAGCCACCTGGTGGAGCTGTCGAGAACCCCGGCAGTGAGCGAGCAAGCAGAAGGAGCAAGCAAAGACAGAAGGGAAGGGAGATATTTACCTTGGTGTTTTCTTAAAACAAAAAATGTGCACTACTCCACAGTCAATTATCAACTGCAGTTTCCAAATGTGCCAAAGAGGGAAAGGTCTACGGGGAAGGCTGAAGGAGCAGAAAGAGAGAGAGAGAGAAGAGACGACCAGCTGTTGCACAGTGCCACCAAGGATAGGCAATGCCATACATCAGAGGGAAGGTGCAAAGGACGGCATCCCAGGACCCAGGGACTGTGCCCTGGAGAAGTCTTGTGATGGGGGAACACGGGGGGCTGGCTCAGGACCTGCTGAGGAGCCAGGGGTCCAAAGTTCCAGCCAAGTAGGTTTTGCACGTCACTAGACTGTCAGAACTACTCATTTCCACTGTCTGCCCGAGGCCAGACAATCCATAAACCAATCCAGGTACAAAGGAAACCTTAGAGACACAAGCAGCTGGCTAGATCTGGTCCTTGCACCGTAGCTTCCCCACCCCTGCCACACGCAGCGAAAATGCCTGTGCAGTCCAAGCCCTTCAGTGAAGCCCTTCTCTGCCAGGGACCCAGTGACAAAGTCTCCAGGGCACGACTAAGTCAGTGTGTGTGGTGCCAGGCTGCCAGGGATAGATGCAGGTAGACGCCAGACGGTTCAGGACCGAAGGGGAGACCACAGACCAGCTCACAGGGGCATGTGAGGAGCTATGGGTAGAACTGTCAGTTTACATCAGCAGAGTAGCAGGTAACAGATTACAAAGAGAAAATGACCCACAGTTCGGTAAATGACGCTCCGGCCCAGTGAGCAGCCAAAGCCAAGAGGATTTAAAAAGAAGTCTTAAGGGCCTGGAGTGTGGCTCAATGGCAGAGCTCCTGCCAAGCATATGGGAGGTCATGGGCTCCAGCTCAGCTCTGCTGTCTAGAACGCCTGTCCCTGCACAGGTCTCGACCCTGGCCAGTACCATGCAGGCTCTGCAGCGCAGAAGCCAACCTGAGGGGCTCACCGTCTGCTAAGTCTTGGCTTCTGAGGCCCAAGTCTCCTGTGATGGTGTGAACTCCTGCACGAGATGCCCATACAATGCCCTACCTAGTAGGGCAACAGTTTTGTCAATTGTAAGGGGTGTGGCCCCATCTGAGAGTGTGTGTCCCTTTCGAAAGGGAGGTATCCCCACCCCATCCTGAGCCCAGAGACAGCACTGAGCCAGCATACCTGCTGTCCCCTTGACAATCCCCATAGCCAGTGGCTGGAGGGGCTGTCGCTGTGCCCTGGGTTGGGGCTCTCTGTCCCTGGCACATACATGTCACCTCACAGTTCAGAAAGGACCTTTGCATCACAAACACATGTCTGCACTCTTACTCCCAGGCTAAGGGCCAGAGCGGTGTCCTAGGGAAGCGTACCAGGCCTCTGGACAGTGAGGATATTTGCTGAGGGAGAACACAGAAGGCTGTGGATGTGGCACCCACAGAGGAAGTGCCTGGGAAGAGCTCACCCCTCCACAGCAGGCAGGTGGGCCCTGCAGCCTTTCAAGAGCCTGGCATTACCGCCCCTGCTCCAGGACCTGACCAGCTGAAAACTACAGCAGAGCCCTAACACCAGTCCCCCCTGCCATCCCACCACAGTGCTGGTTCCCAGCCCACTGTGCAAAGCCAGCCCCCAACGTGGGTGAGTGCCCCGACAGGTCAGGCCTGCTTGACCAGCATGTGCAATCTCCCGCCTTCTGAGCAGCGCCCACAGGTGAACCACAGCTTCCTTCTCAAGTCCGTAACTCTAATGCTCAGTGGCCAGGTCGGAGTCTGAACCCCTTCCCATCAGCTGTCTAATGAAAGCAGCCTATCCTAGGGCTCTGGAGAAAGGGGTAGCTTTCTGCACTCATTAAGGGCCACTGGTCTAGATATCGGCATCACCAGCAAGATGAAAACAGGAAGAGAAAAACAGAAAAGAGAAAGGTGCAGGGCAGGGCAAGGGCAGAGCATGCAGTGTAAAGCTTCACGAGGGGCAGAGCCCACCGCCCTCTGGGTCCTATGCTCAGGAGGTGCCATGCAGGGCTCACCTGCTGCCACAGCTGCCTTATCACCAAGCAGCTTGGTCTGGCTGCCTGGAAGTACCTGGAGGTCAGTGTTCTCAGGAGACGGTGGCAGGCTTTGGGCCCGGGAAGCCAGGAGTGCATTGAGGTACTGCAACCGTGTGACCTGCGGGACAGAGGCAAGTCACCCAGCAGGCAGAATGCTAACTGGCTGGATGGGGGATTCCGGGGCATATCCTACAGGGCAGAATAGGCCAGGCCTTACTCCTGCAGATGCTGCTTAGTGCTTACACTCCACCCACACCACCTGGTGGACACTGGTGAGCAGCCCGGTGGTCACCTTCACCAGCTGCAGGTCTGAGAGGGCCCTCACGGTGTAGTCTGGACAGTATGTGGAGGAGCGGGTGCTGTCGGCAGGCTCGGCTGGCAGGTCCTGGCGGGCAGGCTGGCGTGAGGATGCCGGGGACTGGGGAACTACAGAAAGGAACAATCAAAGACTACGCAGCCGGTAGGACCTTGGCACGGCCACTGAAGCCCATCCCAGCCACCCTGCAGGGAAAGCAGGGTGGGACCTGTAACAGGGTGGGGACGTGGAGGGGTAGGGATGAGGGCACTGAGCCAGTGAGGGGAAAATCTGCCTGCCTCTCATGTGGATGCCCCGGAGGATGGGCAGAGTGGCACTGCAGGGTGGGCTCACCCGAGGATGGCGCCGTCAGGGCAGACACGCCGTAGTAGGTGAAGGCCCCATTCTCAAACTTCAGGCCCTCCTTCCCGATCTCTACCTCAACCCTGCCCTGGGAGGAGGGGGGAAGGGAGAAACAAGCAGAAGTCATCTTTGCAGTCAGAGAAAAACCCAAGGAGACGCCATCCCCAGCTCCTCAGGGCCAGGAGCGGCGCTATCCCTCTCAGCCTCTCCTGGGACTCTGGCCCCAGTACCTGCAAGATGAGGATGAAGTAGTCCACCGGCTGGCTGCGCTGGTACAGATAGTGGTGTGCGGCCAGGCGGTTGCTCTCGTCAAACTTCACCTCCTGGTTGACACTTGGGTGCTTTAGCAGGTGCAGCAGGACCTTCTCGGAGACGCGCACCGGGCTGAACACATCCACCTCTGCCCCATAGTGGAAAGAGGGACAGTGTCCCCCAGGGTACTCTCCCTGTGGCCCTACCACTGCCACATAGCCATGCCCAAGAGCCAGGTGGGGCTCACCAGGGCCACCGAGACTGCCCGGCTGCCGCTCTGGTGACCAAGACACTGCTAACAAGGCTAAAGGGAACCCCATGTCTCTCTCACCAGGAACAGGGACCACAGTCCATAGGTGCTTGGGGCAGGCGCCAGTGAGGGCACAGGGCCAGGGACTACCCTTCCCCTTTACCTCGAGACAGGAAGCGCTGAGTGGCCAGGAGCAGCTGCGGCGAAATTTTTACTTTGTATTCTTCGTCGGACACCTTGAACAGGGAGAACTCCTCCTTGCGCTTGGGAGGGACAGTCAGGGACACGGCCTTCTTCCTTATTGTGGCGTCTCCTAAGGGGGGATACGCGGTGTCACTGCCCAAACACACCCACGAGGGCCCTGCTGCCTGCTCCTCCTCCTAAGGCTTAGCATGGGCTCCGGGAGGACTCTGCCAGGGCCCCGGGGATGCACACTTGGCCCAGCTCCTTCCACAGTGCCTGGCTGCCACGGCCACCCCACAGCACCCAGAACAGCACTGAGCAGGAAGCCAGGCTTAAGCACCCCAGGACTGTCTGCTGGGGCCACCTCAGCCAGACACTTTTGTGTTTGCGCTGGGAAAAGAAGCCAGGACCTGTGCCTGCAAGGCAAGTGCTCCACCACTGAGCTACAGCCTGGCCCAAGGAGTGGGTCCTTAAAGGACACTTGGGTAATACATGGAAGAACCTGAGCCAGACGAGGCAGCAGGAAAGATAAAACAGGCAACAGCCCAGAAAGGGCAGGGCCCTGAGTGAGAGAGCACGCAGGACGGCCACTAAAAGAACCCCGAGCTCACGCTGGGGCTGCAGCGCAGACGGAGGCCTGCACTCACGGTAGTCTTCAGACTCATCCAGGATCTCGGACTTGATGATCTCCTCAATGACGTCCTCCAGGGTGACCAGGCCCAGCACCTCGTAGAAGGGGTCACCCTCGCCCTCGTTGTTCACCTTCTGCACGATGGCCAGGTGCGACTTCCCTGTGGAGAGGGGACACTTATTTATAGTTTTCAGGGTACCCTGCTGTTCCAGCTAAGACAAGGCAATCACAAGGACACGGGTGCCAGGAACTCAGTCCAGCTCCTTCCCTAGGGCCCGACGGTCAGCATGCTGAGTGAGGCCTCAGAGACCAGGTGCACCTACACAAGGTCCTCGCATGGGCTGCAGGCAAGTGGGAGGTGGCCCGGGTCTGTGTGGCTCTGAGCTGTGGACAGACTCCAGGCATGGAGGCTTGGGGACAATGCCAGCCTGACTCTGTGTGGCCTTCCCAATGTCTAAGGCTGCTCTTCTGGGGCTCCTCCAGGGGATGGGAAAGTGGGAAGTGGCCCTGAAGGACCCCACTATGCCAGGGCGATGAGCCACAGACTGGCACTGTCCTGTGCTCCTGGGTCTCTCTCATGCCATCTTCCCATCTGGTTTCAGTGGGGACAAGCGAGATGGAGCAGGGCCCAGGGCCAGAGTTCTGGGCAAACCGCAGGAGCTTAGGCACAGGTGGAAGTGCTTTGCAGCCACAACACTGCTCACCTCTCTGAACAAACCAGACAGCAAGCCTGTTTGTAATTTAGACTCTTAAAGTGGCTACATTAAAAACATCAAAAGAAAGAGGTGAAATTAAATTTACCAACCTACCCTAAGTAACCCAATAAAGTCCAAATTTCACTTCAACAAGTAATTATAAAGAAACAAGCATGTCACCCTCTTCTTGTACCAAGCCTCCAAAGTCTGGGGTGTACTTGTCACTTATTACATATCCCACCTCAGACAAGGACCCCACCAAGTGCTCCCCAGCCACAGTGGGGGGTGGAGAAGCTGCTGGACCAATCGAGCAGGTCTGCAATGGGGCAGCAAGACAACTTCCTGTCACCAGTGACAAAGGGAGCGTGGAAGCTGGCCCCCAGATCTACATGTGAATGGCATCTGCTCCAAGAATCTTGGAGGAAGGCAAAAAAATCAAGTTCCTTTTTCTGTGCAAATCATTATTTCACACCTGTGGGTTTGGTGAAAGCAGCATGTCTGAGGGTACTCAAATAGCCTTGGACAAATATTAAAGGGAGAAATAAGCACACTAAGTAACTTCCCCAGAACAGGAGAAGCAGCCCAGGGGTCCCTCGACTGCTCTGCTCAGACACGCTGAATAGGGTCAATGGCTGAGATGTCCCTATAGCCAACCTCAGAGACCATGCTGTGAATGCACACAGGTGCCATCTCAAGGGCCATGGCTGCTCCATCACAACCCAAACCTGTCAGGCAGCCCAGGAAGGCTGAGGGTGCGACACACAGTTCTGGTCAGCAGTCTGTGATTCCTGAAACCAAAGCCCAGCTTCTGAATGGCCACCTCCATCCAGAGACACCTGGCCTTGGCTCCTGCCTGGGAAGCTACCTCTTTGGCAGGTCACCTATCAGAAGGGACTAACTTCTCCCTTCATCTCAAATTGCTTGAGACAGGCACTTGTGTCTCCTGGGACATGCCACACGGGAGTGGCCCAGCGAGGAACAGAAGGAGGCAGAAGAACACCCTGAACAGCGGCCAGGCGATGATCGCAGCACATGGCGTCTCAGGGGTCCAGAGAGTGGCCAAGACAAAACAAGAGGGGACAGAGAGAAATGTGGCTGTCCACCTGCTCCCAACAGGACCGGCCTGCTCACAGGCATGGCAGCTCCACAGGCCACAGGCACATGTGGTGACATAACCAGAAGGCCTGGAAAAGCTTGAGTTTGGCTTTCACCCAGCAGGCATCAGGGTACCCCAATTATGGATGGTGGAGAACCTTTCGTGATGCCCAACGTCTGTAGTATCCTGTTCTGGTTTTGGTGGTGGTACTAGGGGCTGAACCAGTGCCACCAATGGAGCTACATCCCCAGCCCTTTTCAGAGTTAAGTTGTCCAATCTGGGCTCAAACTTATGATCCCGCCTCAGGCTCCAGGAGTACTGTGATTACAGACACGCCATGATATCTTTTAAAATGTAGGGTTTAGTTTTTTTCCATCTTCCCTGGGCTTTTTTTTTTTTTTTTAATTTTATTTATTTATGTGTGTGTGTGTGTGTGTGTGTGTGTATGTGTATGTGTATGTGTGTGTGTGTGTGTGTATGTGTATGTGTATGTGTATGTGTGTGTGTTGCCAGCTCAGCCCACCAGGGGGCAGGGCTGGCTGGCATGTGGTGCTGGGGATCGAACCACAGTCCCTGTGCTTTGCTAAGCTTGTTCTAAGTAGGTGCTTTAGACCACTGAGCCATCTCACCAGCCCCTTCCCTGGGTTTTTTTTTTTTTTTTTTTTGGTTTGTTTTTCTTCGACAGGGTCTTGCTGTGTAGTTCAGCCTGGCTTTGAATTCACTATGTAGCCCAGGATGGCCTCAAACTCACATGATCTTCCTGCCTTGGTCTGAGCAACTCTGCCTCTCCTCAGCAGCAGCCACCAGCTTCTGCTAAGACAATAAGCCAGAACTCTCCTGGTGGAAAGCAGACTTCGCAACGCCCCACCTCCAGACCAAATCCTTTACAGCCTGGAGTCTTGTTGAGGGTTGACAAGGAGGCACTCGGGTCTGAGGCTCTACAGAAACTGCAAGTCACTCATTAGTGCTCTGAAGCACTCTTCTTTCTGATGTGTGTGAGAAATGACTGCTGTGTCATCTTGAGTCAGCGCCGAGGGGTCCCTCTCCCCAGGTCACAAAGAAGCAGAGACCTGAATGACGCCTGGACTCCAGCTCCAGGAGGTTCGCAGGCACCATGGCCTCAGACGCTTGGTCAAGAGATGGGCAGGGGACTGATTTTAAAAGTCCAGTGCCAAGGGGCTGGTGAGATGGCTCAGTGGTCTAAAGCACCTACTTAGAACAAGCTTAGCAAAGCACAGGGACTGCGGTTCGATCCCCAGCACCACATGCAGTGCCAATGAGCCGTTTGGGCTGAGGAGTATACTGTATCACAGGGGTTGAGACAGCAGGACTCACACAAGCTGGGCATGGTGGAGCACGCCTGTAATTCCAGCACCTGGCAGCTGAGGCAGGAGAACCCCTGCCAGTTTGAGGCCAGCCTGGGCTATATAGTAAATTCAAGGCTAGAATGAACTACATATTGAGTCCTTGTCTCAAAAAACCAAACCACATCAAAAGAAACAGGACTCACACCAGGAAAAATGCAGAGTTCTGCCAGGGGCTACAGACAGATGTGCCAGCTCTAGGAGGTCCTTGGAGGGCACAGGCACTCTGCGCCCAGGGCACCCTCATGCCCCACAGGGATGAAGAAGTGAAGGCCACTATAGGACCCCCATTGGACATCTGGTACAGAAAAGGGGGCTCACTATCCGGCAGCTTCTAGACCCATAAGCCCCAAATGCCCTCGAGTGGCAAGTTGCCCACACCTGCTCAGGAGCAGGAGTGCCCCATACTGAGTAGGCCTTTCTTCTCTCTGACACCTTTCCTGTCAACGACAGGTCGGCCCAATCCTGCTCCATGCCTACCCTACAACCTAAGGAGGCACTTCCCAGACCATATCTCCCTGACGCCCCCACCAGACCCCTGTCCCCTTACCCCCCTCCACTGCCACATCCCCTTGTCCTGTCCAGTCACCCAGCCACTTCTGCCTTGGTGAAGCCAAGGGCATCCTGGGGGCTGCCTCCTCTGCAGATCTCCCACCTCCCACTGGGTAGTGGTCTCCTCCCTTCACTTCCAGGGTATCCTGCCTCTTCCTGTGGCTTCTCCAGGTTCTGGTCTGCACCTTACACACTCATGCTGGGGGGCAGGGAGTGAGTGTTAGACTCTGCTTCACTCCCAAGGCTCCCAGGGCCTGCATGTCACACCAGCGGCCTGCTAGGAGTCTGCCCCCAGGATACTGCACCACTGTAACTCAGCTCTCAGGAAAGGCAGAAACTCAGGCCTCATCCTCAGGTTTTCCCTTTCCTACCACAGCACCTGGGCCAACCAGCAATCGCCTCTGTTCCACCCCCTGATGTCCCCCAGATCTCCTCTCCAGGCACCGTGTAACATAGCCAGCTCTCAACTGGGCCCTTCATCGCACTGTCCACACCAGCCAATGACGGCAGAAACCACCTGGATGGTGCCATGCTGCCCACAGCCCTGGTGACCAAATCTCAGTTCCACAAGCAGCCCCCACCCCACTGTCCTATCCCCCACCCATCTTGTCACTGTGAGCATCTTAATGCTTCCCATCTGGGATCCTCACAAGCTCTGGGCCCAAGCTCCCCTGCCGCTCTGAGGGTTGGAAACACAGAACCACTTTGCCAGCCTCATCCTAAACATCCTGACCAACTTCTGAAGTCTAGGAGGGGCAGCCCTTCCACCAGTCCTGCCGGGAACCACCCACAAGACTGCCTGAGGCAAAGAACGCAAGAGCCAGATGCAGCTAGACATAAGGGAATGTTTCCTTAAGGAATCTTAAGAAGGGGACTCAGAGCAACAAAGAGACCAAGATGGTCTCCACATTATTACTCTGAGGAGGAGGAAGTCTGGTGTCCATTCTGCAAGGTGTAGCCTGCACTTCCAGGTTACTCCACTGTGAACACACAGCATCTGCCCTAGAGCAAGGGCAAAGACTGCACCTCTACCTCTAGCCAGGACTGCAGCCCCTGCTTTCTTCCCACACTGCCTTCCCCCAGCTCCTGGGTCAGCTCCACATCAGCAGCCAAAGTCTTGAGCCAAGGTCTTGAGCGAGGGCGGTACAGCTCTCCAAGGTCTAGGCAGTGGTGGGATGGAATCAGGTGACTCCGGGGCCACAATGCTGGCTGCCACTCCAAGGACTACCATGCGTGGGGACAGAGGCAGCCCAGAAGACACACTTAGCACAAAGACTGTATGGGCTCCCTCTCTACAGAGGGGCAGGCGGCAACCTAGCGCACCAGTTTCCGCGCCAGGCTCTAGAGTGCGAGGTCGCCGGTTGGTGCCCCCGTTCCGCCTTTTTCGAGGGGCCAGGGAAATGGCTCAGTGGAATAAGTGCTTCCCTGGCAAGCACAAAGGTCTGAGTTCAATCCCTGGTTCCACCAAAACAAAAAAAACAAACAAACAGAGGGGCGGCAGGACCATATCCAGGGGAAGTTGGCCAGGCATACCCGCAATATCTATAACAAAGTCCTGCCTGACCAGAGCCACCCTGCCTTCATGAAGAGGTGAGGCATGGCCCAGGCCTGCACTCAACACAAGAGACATGTGGACAAGACCGGAAAGCTTGCTTCTGCTCTATCCAGGCACTCACAGAGCACCTCTATGCAGACCTGGAGCTGGTGCACTTCTCAGTTCTCTGCCTCTCATCCTGTAGCTGTCAGGGTCATCCATACAGCACCCTGCAGGAGCTCAGGACTGTGCAGCAGGCTGGGGGTCCCACTGCCTGCAAGCAGGGGTCACACCTCCCAGGAGGACAACACTGAGGAACACGGAGCCTCCAGGTGTGTGAGGAAGGGGGAGGTGGGAGGCAGAGCAGCTCAGATACAGCAGGGCAAAAGGACCAAGTGAACACACACAGTTAAGGGCGATCCTGGGAGATGACTGAAAAGCAAAAGGAAGGAAAGGGAAGATTAAACCAGGATCCATAAAGTTGTTTTTGGCAAAACCAAAGCGAAAGTCCTCTATGAGTCACCCGCTCATCAGCAGTCAGGAAGGCAACACACAACCACTCAGGGACAGCAAGGCCATCTAATTCACTAACAAATGTGCACAGGTACGGCGGCTGGCTATCCCAGACGACGTTTTTGCCCTTCTAGTTTCTATCTACGGGGTCCAGGTGCTCTGAAGTAACCTGGAAGAGGACACCTGGAGGGCTGGGCTAAGTGGAGGTCCCTCCTCCGCCGAAGGGACCACGCCATAGGGTGGGGAGTAAGGTATTTCTTCTGACACTGCCTCCAAAACCCAGAGAAGAGACTCCAAACATTTCAAAACCCCTCGTTTCCGGGTGCATCACCTTAGGAAAAAGGGGGAGGTCTCACTGCCCTTTTCTTGGAGGTTCCATTTCCCTTGCTCCTTCCTTTTCAGGGGACAGCACTGGAGGCAGCCGCCCCATCGTTACCTCGTTTGAACTCCTCTAGGACTGCGTCCAGCTTGGTGTCGTTGAAGACGAAGTGGAGAGGGTGATTGTAGAAGCGTGTGATGGTGCTGAGCGGCGTGCAGTCCTCGGGGTCCACGAAGGCCAAGTCTTTGAGGTAGAGCATGTCCACGATATTGGAGCGCTCCTCCTCGTACACCGGGATGCGCGTGTAGCCGCTCTGCATGATGCTGGCCAGGACCCCGAAGTCCAGCACGGCGCTGGCGTCCAGCATGAAGCAGTCCTCGAGCGGCGTGAGCACGTCCTCCACGGTGCGGTAGCGCAGCACGCCCTTGCTCAGGTCGCCGTAGGGGTCGCCGCCGCCGCGCGCCAGCTCCAGCACGCGCTCGCGCAGCCGCCCGGGCCGCGCCGCCAGCTCCAGGAGCTGCCCCACGGGTAGCGCCACGGGCAGCGTGAGCAGCACGGCCAGGCGGCT